CCATTATCAAACTGGTGAGGCAAGGTAGATGATGTAGAGTCCCACTAAACTAGAAGCCATGGTTTCTTGGCTCTAGTCCTAACTTAATTACCCAATTTATCTGTGATTTTAAAAAGTTACTTCTGGGGCTGGGCGTGCCTGCTCATGCCTGTAATCCCAGCACTCAGGGAGGCCAAGGTGGGTGGATTGCCTGAGCTCATAGGTTCAAGATCAGCCTGAGCAAGAGTGAGACTGTGTCTCTACTAAAAATAGACACCCATCATTAGAATCCTAAATAAAATTTTCCTTACCACTTTAACAGTCAGAATAATTTTTTCCTTACCAATTCTGACTATCTCCAATGTGTTCACAGCCTATACTATATCATGTAGAACTTGATCAAACCTTGACTTGTATTCTCTGATCATCACTTGTATGTAATTCCAAAGCCATTGCCTTGTACAGTGTGCAACTCATATTAGAATCCTACACTCAGATACCTCACATCATTAGCAGAGATGCCAGAGAAAGGTCCTTCACTGTGTCTTGAATAAGGGCAGAGAGGGGCAAAGAGTGAAAAAAGTAGGCTTCATTCTTAACTACCCCAGTAAAATAGGCATCCAGTGATTCAATCAGCTTGGCTAAGTGCTATTCTGACATTTTGACAGAGAGAGATATAAAGGAGGAAAGTACCTTAATATAAAAATGTTCCACACTGGAATCCATTAATACTCACAACTTGGAAGCCTATCTCACCCTGTTTTTGTTTTCTTCTGGGTGGTATGGGAGGAAATGGGGAGTCATCTGGTTAGAAAAGGTGGGAGGAAGGTGATAACTAGATAGTTTTCAGTTCAAATTAAGGGTCAAACCTAGTTGGAAATAAGTTTAGGTTGCTTATGCCTCTGCTTGGAGTGGGCCTCTGATTAGCTAAATTGTGGCCTTTGGCTAAATCAGTAAACTTTCATATTCTGTAAAGAAGACTAAGATAATAAGAAGAGTATGTTGTTCAAGTGTCAAGAACTATCATTAAAGCAAGAGAATGTTACAAAAAGTATAAAATAGTTTCCCATCTTTGTGGGCAGAAAGTAAACTGAACTGGAGGGAAAAATAGGTACATCTAGCTCTACCTCTCATACATTATATGACTCTTTCCTCCTTGGGTCTCAGTTTTCTGATCTGAAGAAAAGAGAGGATAGCTCTGCTGTTTAGCCTGTTTAGTCCTTGTGACCAGTTTCATCACAGCCAATGCATAGGATTTTCTGTAGAGACAGCAGGAATGCTGGGAACCATTCCAGGATTCAGAGCTCTAGGATTTGGTTCTATCTTCCAACTTCTCTTCCTTCAATTCTTAGCAATTAGCTTCACTCATCTCCTCAAATTCTTTTCTGGAACAAAGCAGACTGTATGTATGAATGAGTGAACCAAGTCACTTCTCAGGCATCCCACCTCTCCATCTCCATTAGAGAAAGGCAGAACAGTTGTTTCATAGGATCAGCAAGTCTAAATTACCAAACTGGGATCAGAAGCTTGAAGAAAGGTGATTTCAGGCTTAGGATATTCTTATCCCAGCCCCAGGGATATCTTATAAATATGGCAGCATAGGTTTATGTGAAGTAAGAATGAAGTACTGAACGGATTAATTCAAGCAGATGGGAACGGGGGAAGTAACTGAAGCCTTTCAGATGAGTATGGCATGTCACAGGGGACCAAGTCCAAGATAGGAAGAAACAACAAAAAATCCAGGGTTTAGGTGACCATAGGGACATCAGTGACCTTTCTTGAGTTTTATTACTATCTGTAAAGTAGAGATTCATAATGTTTGCTCTGCTCATCTCTTGGAGTTATTTTAAGGACCAAAGTAAAAGATACATAGGTCAATGAGCTTTATAAACTATAAAAGTATATAAAAATGGAACTTTTAAAATACCATTGATAATGGTAGTAGTAGCAGGAGGATCAGACCATAGAATAGTAAAAGACAGCTGTGATATAATGAAGTAAAGCTGTTAGGTAAAATACACCATGCCCAACTAAATTTAAATTTCTTATAAACAATGAATAATTTTGTAGTGTGTTACAAATATTACATAGGACATATGTATACTAAAACAAATGTTTCAGCCAGACCCAGTGGCTCATGGATAGCACTCTGGGAAGCTGAGGTGGATGGATCACCTGAGCTCAGGACTGCAAGACCAGCCTGAGCATGAGTAATACCTCATCTCCACTAAAAATAGAAAAACTATCTGGGAGTTGTGGTGGACACCTAAAGTCCCAGTAAGGCAGGAAGATTGCTTGTGTCCAAGAATTTGAGGTTGTTGTGAGCTATGATGAGATCATGGCACCCAACCCTAGGGAGACAGTGAGTCTATCTCAAAAAAAAAAAAAAAAAGAAAATGAAAACAGAAATGGGATTTATCAAAAATGAAATTTTAATTGAGTAGCTATTATATTCTTATTTGCTAAATCTGCCATCTTGTCACTGACTCTGGACATCTTACTTCATTGCCTCAGCTAACCCTACCATCCTCCTATGCTGAGTGTAAGGATCAGAGGAGGCAATGGATGTGAAAATAAAGCATTACACAAATGCTAAGTGCTCTTTTTATTCCACTCTAAGACAGTTTCTGCTGCTGTCCTTCCAAGAAAATCCAGCTAGAATGAAATATTTCATCTGGTACTTAGAGGGAAAATAAAAGAACTATGGTAGGCTGAACAAAACTCTGCCATATATATGTCCATGTCATAATCCTTGAGATTTGGTAATGTGTCATCTTACATGGAAAATAAGTTTTCACATGTGACTAAATATTTTGCAATGGGCTACCTGTATGGGCCTGATAGAATTACAGTGGCCCATATACAAGGGAAATAGGAGGATTCAGAGCCAAAGGAGAAACCAGTGTGATGAAAGAAACAGAAATTGAAGTGATGTACTTGAAGACAGAGGAAGGGATCACAGACAATGAATAGAGGCAGCCACTGGAAGCTGAAATAGGCATGGAAACAGATGCAAATACACTACCTTGAGACTGCTTCAAAGTTGAATCAGATTTAATTTGAGATGGAAAGGCAGAGATCAGAAATCAGTGCTTCTCACCCCTAGCTGCACAGTACATCATAGAGAGCTTCTAAAGAAAATTTCAATATTTGCTTCCCCATTCACACGTAGCTGGACTGGGGTAAGCCCCATCTATATATTTTTCAAGCTCTCAGATTATTATAATTGAGTGTAATAAGCAATAATGGAAGATCATTTGAGGTCAGGAATTTGAGACCAGCCTGAGTGAGACTACCCCATTTCCACAAAAAAAAAAAAAAAAAAAAAAGAAAAGAAAAAGTAGACAATAATGTTGGCATGTGTGCATAGGCTCAGCTATATGGGACCCTGAAACAGGAGGATCACTTGAACCCAAGAGTTTGAGGTAGAAGTGAACTATGATGACACCACTGCACTCTAGGCCTGTATGACAAAGCAAGACCCTGTCTCAAAAGAAAAACAACATAACACACTTTTGCCTGTTATTTCAGCACTTTGGGAGGATTTCTTAGGGCCAAAAGTTGTATACCAGCCTGGGTGAGCTCTTCAAAAAATCAAAAACAAAAATAGCCAGGTGTGGTGGCATACAACTCTAGCCCCAGCTGCTTCAGAGCCTGAGGCAGGAGGATAACAAGTTCTTAGTTATTAAAGGTTACAGTGAGATATGATCATGCCATTGCATTCCAGTCCAGGTGATAGAGAAGAGTGAGACCTTGTCTCTAAAAAAAGAGGGAGTAATAATCACTGTCACAGTTGGAGCTAGGAAGGATCATAACTATCTAGTTCACCTTACTACTTTGACAGAAACTGATGCCCAGAGTGGTGAAGTGACTTGCCCAAAGTCACACAGAAGGCTGATAACAAAGCCTGTAACAAGAAAGTGACTGATCAGTATATGTGAGCATTACTGACAAAATCAACAAACTGGTGGTATGCAAAACAAAGTCAAAGTAGCTAAACAGGATGGACATTCTTTAAATTCAGTTTCTATAGGGACAGGACACAATTATAACAGAGACTTTACCTAACAAATGCAATTAGTGTAATGTAACCTAATTCTTTGTACTTTCAATGACTCCCAAATAATGAAAAAAAAATAAATTCAGTTTCTATAGTGGTCTCTCTTATTATTTCAAAGATCTAATCTATACATATTGATAATCACTTCCGGGTCCCCGAGGTCTCTAATTCAGGCTTCAGTGGCTCCAAGGCCAGAAGTTATTCATAAGTGGATTTAAGAAAATCTTTCCCCACCTTATTGTCTGGTGCTGGAACGAGTTCTCATTAGCAATTGTAAGAACACTTGAATGTTAAGTCATTGAGATTTCTTTGGAGAGGCTTTGCATGTTTACCTTTTTTGCAAAGCATTCTGGATTAATTGTATCTCAGAGGTCAGACCATTTATTAACACCAGCAGGCTTCAGCCCTCAGGGAAGGGACAACAATTCTTTTTCACTACCTTTAAAATTCATAACTTACAGTCCCTTTCTAGAAATCCTACTTCTCCTGTGAAATACAGACGCCATTTACCTCTAGCCATCTTTAACAATCTCCATTTAATAGTGCTCTGAAAAAGGAGGAAATATGTATGTACATATGCATGCATGCATGTATTTAACAGTGATAGTCAGAGTTCCACAGCTCATAGAGTGCCCTGAATCCCCCAAATCCCTCAAATATTTTATAGAGAGCTAGACTCCAGATGGGAGATTAAATATCTAACACTGCAGTGAACATTAACCAGCACAAGTGATATACCACCTTGTTATCAGTTTCCCTCAACATATAAACACAGGACACCTTTTTTAAATGTATTCAACAACCTTAAGACCACCTTAAAACTCATGAGAACTGAAAATATACTTTCCCCAATTCATCCACTAACTCATATTGTTTCTAAATGACCCCTTACTCTTTATGAGAAAGCAGTGACAGTAGCCACAGTGTACTGCTATTAAAAATAAGGCAGAAGAGACACTCATATCTGGAAGGGAATTCTTTTTTCTTGTAAAACAGAAAATCAACTGGGGCTTGGTTTGAGCTTTGTTTTCCCATTTGTTTGGTTCTTCCCTCAACAATGAGCTTCAGGACACAGTAAGAGGTAGGTCCTAAATCAGGGTGCCTGGGGGATTTAAACCAGAAGCTGGTCTATATGAAGCTTTTCCAGCTAACTGAGGGGCAGGGGGCAAAAAAACAGTTGTACTGGGAATTAGGGATGTTATACAGGGAAGTCCAAACAGGGGCCAGGGAAGACGCCTAGTGACTGATGGGGGGATGGTAACAATGGTGCACTGTGAATATTCCTGGGTGCTGAAAGGTGGGACTGGGTCGGCATCAGGTTTGATGTGGAGTGGTGAGCCTTGTGAGGCATTTCTTCCAGAGATGGGATTAGAGGTTGGCACAGTAGGTTCAGGATTTTGAGGTGCTGTGTAGAGTTCATCCCTTCTCTGAGGCCGACGACACCAGTAGCAAGCAATACCAGCAAGGATTCCCAATAGTATGAAAGTGACAAAGGTGCTGCCCACAATAACTAAGGGCAGGTAGATGGATCCTAGGGTAAAGAGAAGAAAAGAAAGAAGTAATTACATGTTTCTGGGTCTATTGCCAACCTGTGCAGCAGAGGGAAAACATTTTATACCCTTGGCAATCTCAGAGCATGTACCAATGCAGTTACCTTTTTTCAGGAGGAAGAACCTGTCCATGCAAGAAGATACTATGTCTACAGAAGAAATATTCAGGCTTTTTATGTCAAAAAAATGAATTTTGGTGTAAACAGACATGAGGAAATATATGTTGTTAAAGAGAAGTTATGCAAATTATATTTATGGGCCAGTAAGATATGGCTTACCAGTAATCACTCAGGAAAGGGGGTAAAGTGTTTTGATGGCATCTATCCTATAGACCTAAAGAGCAACCACTGTGCAGAACCCCTCTCAGAAAGGGTAGGATATGCCAAAAGGCAACAGTAGCTGCTTTAAAAGGCAATATGGTAAATGGAAAGAAGACTTGAGATTAGCAGCTATAAGCCCTGGATCCTACTCATTGGCTGAGCAACTTATAAATACTATGGCCTTGGACAAGTCAATGTCTCTGAGATGCAAATGTTCCTCAGTAAAATTGAAATAGCATCTACTTCATATATTTGTCTGGATTGAAGAAGCTAAAGCATGTGAAAACATTTATAAACTGTAAATTACCATGTAAACGTAAGGAAACCTTCCCCCTCACCTCTGGGGTACTTTAGGTGGGGTGTTCACATCTAAGAATAGGGAAAAAGAAAGAAAAAAAAGGAGAAATAGTTTTACCTTTATTCTTGGCTACTTAGAGGATCAGAGTAAAAGTTCAGGTGTTCTGAATATAGTAGTGCAGGGTTTTCATTACATTACTTTTCAATTCTATCTAGATTTTGATCTTTTATTTTAAATAAAATGAAAATGAAAGGTTAAAATGAAAATGAAAGGTAATCTTGTTGCATAAAATCTGTGGTGACTGAATCTGGAAATAACATGTTCAGTTCTTGTCCCTATCCCTCAAGAGAGATGTAATTGGACAGATGGAGGTCTTGAGAAGAATAGTGATGGGCCACCAATACAAAGTATACACTCAACAAATGAAGACTCTAATCATGAACAAATGATGCTTTTAAAAAAATGAAATCAAAATCCTGAAACTTACTGAGCATCTGGAGAATACAATGGCTTATCTCCTTATAGAACATTGGAACTCTCCATATTAAGAAATTTTTCTCACAGAACCATCAGAAGATCGGTTTTTAATAGACTTGCGAAAAGAGGTAGCTGACTTATAAGTCATCCTGTCCTAAGAGATAGTGCAGGAACTAGATTTGGAGGTATTGTTAAATTATTGTTTATGGCAGCTCTACAACAGGTTGTGAAGAGAAGAATAAGCTCTCCAGAGGTGAGGCTCACATTTGGACTTTGCCTTTAGGGAGGCTCTACAGGCCTTTGTATCCTACATTCTTGGCTTTCTGGAGCCTGAATCTCATCCATTTCTCTGGTCCACTGTAGAATCAGAGATGACAGAGATATGGGTCCTGTCCTGCAAGGAGCTCTGCCCAAGTGGAGACGAATTGAAAACAACCAGGTACAATCATGCCATAAGCAGATACAAGTAGAAAGGTACATCATAATGTTTGAGTAAGCAGCTTTATCTGAGATGATTAAAGTGTGGTTCCCATGTCAGGCACAGTGGCTCACGCCTGTAATCCTAGCACTCTGGGAGGCAAAAATGGGTAGATCGCCAGAGCTCAGGAGTTCCAGACTAACCTGAGCAAGAGTGAAACCCTGTCTCTACTAAAACTGGAAAAACTAGCCAGGCATTATTCCAGGCACCTGTACTCCCAGCTATTCATGAGGCAGAAGCAGGAGGTTTGCTTTAGCCCAAGAGTTTGAGGTTGCTGTGAGCTATGATACCAGGGAAAGTGTAGCTTGCAGTAGGAAAAATAAATGCTGAAATTAGAAATAGAGTTAGTAAAAATAGAAGCAGAACTACTCTAAAACATAAATTTGAAAGACAGTAAAGTGATGTTTGTGTCTAGGGCTGAGTTTTTTAAAAAAGTTTTAAAGAATTCTAAGTAATTGCTATTTAGGAATTCACAAGATGGACGAGAATAGGAGGAACATTCTAAATAAACAAAAACCCAACAAAATCCACCATGCCAAGCTCATTTTTCTATTTTTTGTAGGTGTGTGTGTTGCTTTTGCTTAGGCTGGCTGGTCTCAAACTCCTGGCCTTAAGTGATGCTCCCACTTCAGAATCCCAGAGTGCTAGGATTTACAGTTGTGAACCATCATGCCAGCTTTGTAACTTTTACCCAGAGTATCCCTCTAGTGTTCCTATATGCAAATACAGGCAAATGAAAATCTATATTCTCACATCTGACTTGCTCCCCAAAAGGTAGCACATACTGTTTTACACCTAGTTTTTTTTCTACCAAAGATTATATCCTGGAAATCTTTCCATATTAGTATATACAGAATTTTTCAATTTTTTGGAGGTGTATAGCATGCCATTGTGCTTCTGTATCATAATTTATTTAGCTTTTACATTACCAGTAGACACTTATTTTTTTTCTTATCTTTTCCCATCATTTGTTAATTCCTTCAACAATCTAGGTACTGTGATTATACCTATCTTATAAGTAAACAACTTGAGATTCAGAGAGGATGTGAAGTGCTGATGGTCTCCACTGCTTATTAGCTGATACTCAATACCCAACTCATTCATTTGAAAACTGAAGCAAAAGCCTTACTCTAGCTGAAACTACCCTTGAATTAGATATGTTTATTGGCCCATAAAACCACCAAAGCAGGCCAGGTGTGGTGCCTCACACTTGTAATTCTAGCACTTTGAGAGGCTGAAGCAGGAGGATAGCTTGGGGTCAAGACCACCCTGTGTTAGAGTAATACCCCCATCTCTACAAAACATAAAAATGATACAGGTGTGTTGATGCATGTCTGTAATCTCAGATACTTGGAGCCTGAGGCAGAAGGATCACTTCAGCCCAAGCATTTGATGTTGCAATAAGCTAAGATGATGCCAGTGCACTCTGGCCAGGGGGACTACATCTGAAAAACAAACAAAACAGAAAAACAACAAAGAAACATCTCCATGGCAGTTGTGATGAAGTGGAGAAGCCACCAAACTCAGGTATCTACTAGTTATCAGTAAATATAAAGTCTACGAGTTAACAGCAAATGTAAGGATCACATGAACTAGTGATTATAAAAGTTCTTCAGAAACTATAGAGCTCAGTATCCCCATATGAGGTTGTTTTGTCAGCCCAGCATTCCAAAAGCAATAGCTGTATACTCTTTTTAAAACCTCTTAAGAGTCTAGACTCCAGGGCAAGGCTGTTTTGAGGGTGGCTATTTGTATTACTATCTAAGTGGTATCAGGCAGGCACACTTACCCAAAGCAATCTCATTTTTACTGCCTGCCATTATTCCTTAAATGCCACCAGTAAATATTTAAGCCTTTGTGAGAAATAACTCTAGCTTACACTATCATAGAAAGTTATGACAACTGAGAGAAAGACTATGAAGAAATGAGACAACTGACTGCCTTTCAGTGGGAGGAAAGACAAACTTGATAAATACTTCCTGAGTATATTTATGCAAGGCACTGCACTCCCCTCTATTGTAGGGAATGCAAAGATGAATAAGACACTATCTCTGCCTCACTATAGTGGAGACAGGTAAAGTAGTAGCTGACTACTAGAAAGGTGACTATGACAAATACTATAATAGAAGTTTATGAAGTGTGAGAAAGAAGAGTTTCACTCTGGCTTATTCAAAGAGCCAGCATTTTGTCCGGTGCCTGTATCTCAGAGGCTAGGGCGCCAGCCACATATACGGGAGCTGGCGGGTTCTAATCCAGCTGGGGCCTGCCAAACAATAGTGACAACTATAACCAAAAAATTGCCAGGCATTCTGGCAGGCACCTGTAGTCCTAGCTACTAGGGCAGCTGAGGCAAGAGAATCACTTAAGCACAAGAGTTGGAGGTTGCTGTGAGCTGTAACACCATAGAAGTCTACAGAGAGCAATATAGTGAGAGTCTGTCTCAAAAAAAAAAAAAAAGAAAAGAAAAGAAAAAAGAAAGAAAGAAAGAGCCAGCATTTAACCAGAAATTTCAAGGAAAGTTAGTACTATTTATTTAGCGCTTCTTGTATGCCAGATGCTGTGCTAAGCATTTTGCATTCATTCATTTAATCCTCACAACAACCTTTTTTTTTTTTTTTTTTTTTTTTTGAGACAGAGCCTCAAACTGTCACCCTTGGTAGAGTGCTGTAGCGTCACAGCTCACAGCAACCTCCAGCTCCTGGGCTTAAGCGATTCTCTTGCCTTGGCCTTCCCCTAGTAGCTGGAATTACAGGTGCCTGCCACAATGCCCAGCTATTTTTTGGTTGTAATTGTCATTGTTGTTTGGCAGGCCTAGGCTGGATCTGAACCCACCAGCTCTGGTGTATGTGGCTGGCACCTTAGCCACTGGAGCTACAGGAGCCCAGCCACAACAACCTTATTTTATAAATGAATAAACTGACAGTGCAACTTGTCAAGGTGAACCAGTTTCTACATAGTGAGAGATAGTATTTAAATTCGATTGTGACGGATAATTTAAAATTCTAAATTCTTAGAACAGGTGATCTATTAACTCTTGGGAGGCAATTGATAGAGGTAATGGAAGTTTCAAGAAAAAGGAACAAAGGGGAGTAAAAGAGAAGAGGGTTCATTCTGAAAGATATAGGGTCTGAGAGGGAAAATAGGAAGTACTTCTTGGTACTTCTGCCTAGAAGAGTGGTGGAACAGGCTCTGCAGGGTCTAAGTGAGCATCTCTGCTCTCCTTTGTGTATTACTGCAGGGATCATCTTTCACTTCAGAAGTGACCCTGGAAGGGGAGCTTAGCAAGCTAGGCAGGCAGTTTATAGTACACCCTCCAGGAGGCACCAGAGCTGGCTAGGGATACATTATCACATATATTCAAAATATATGTTATGTGCTAGGCATAATGTCACATGCTGCCTCCTTCAGTTCTCACCCAGCTTGCAAGGCAGGGGTTAAATCAATTTTACACAAGGCCACACATGGCTATGGTCTAGTGTCTTCCTAGGCCTGCCAGCCCTTTCCAATACTGTCCTAAGCCATGAGATCTGGGGCTTGAGCAGTGAAACCAATTTACAGAGGAGACACTGGGCTGTAGGAAATCTGACTCTGAGCTCCCTGGTTAATTTTTCTGGCTAAGGCATCCTAGGCCCAAAGGAATGCAAAGCTTCCAGGGCAACCTTGAGTTTGGGGACTGGAAAGAACTGTTTTTGCAGGTGTCCTAGAACTTTCAGGCTATTTGGGGGCATAGAAGACAAACAGGAGTGTACAGGACAGGCAGGTGGCTCCCAAATGGACCTAGGAGCACCAAATAGTTGTCCAACTGAGAAGAATAATCTTAGAAAGTGCTTCCTCAGAACAAGGACAATGCAACCCTTTTCCTCCATGTCCTGTCCCTACCACACTTTTCACAATCCTCCCTTCCCCCACAGATCCTTGAAATGGGGGGAAGGGCAATATTTTTCAGCATGAGGTTACTACTATCTGGCACAGAGTAGGTTTATTTGTTATATAAACAAATAAATGATACTTTTCTATCTCATGTTAGGAACAAGCAGTGGGTGAGGGGTTTTTCATGAATAATAACTTCCCCTAGCCCAGACAGTCTGAGACCTCCTCAAGAGCTCAGGTGAGGATATACAATAGGAAGAATCCAAACCCCTGCCTGATAAGCACTTAACATTTGAAAACAAATTTATGAGGCAAAGCATCCTGGGGTCAGATTTCTCAAGTTAGGCCAAAGTTACTAGGTTCAAGACCACCTTGAAGCCCACTCCTCTTCAAAAAAAAAAAAAAAAAACCTCTTGTATTTTATAGGAGCTATCTGATTCCTCATAGCCAACTCCAAACCTGATGAAAGTACCAGGTTTGTAATGAAGCAGGCTCTGAAGAGCAAAATGCCTGACCTAAAATCATACAGCTAGGATATGGTAGAACTGGGGTTCCAAAACAAGTCATCTGACCATCCCCATTTACCATGCCACCTATTTTGAATTCCTCTGGTGCATATATATAAATCCTATTCCACCCTTCCTCCCACCCTTACCCGCACCCCTCCAATCTCAACTCTCCTCTGCTACCTGGTCAACCCTGGAATTACCTTCTGGAGCTGGAAGCATAGCCTCTTTTGAGTGCCAGGGCACATCCTCTGGACACAGTCCCTGATCCATCCGGGTCTTGAGAGTGGCACAGCAGTAGCGGAAAGAACAGGTCCCACAGCAGTATACATCAGTGGACTTATCATATCCCCCTGGGCACTGGAAGCCCTCGTGCCATAACTGGGCACTGTCAATCCAGCTGTGGCAAAACTCGCCTTGTGGCTTGACACCACTGGGCATAGCCAACAGCAAAGCACTGGCCTGGAGTAGCAGACCTAAACCTGATCGCTGAGTCTTCCCCATAACCGGCAGACTAGACATTCTCCCAGACACGTGGTTCTGGTCCCCAAGCAATGCCCTGCTCTGCAGCTTATGAACCACAGCTTGCCTTGCTTGAAAGTTCAGGGCTGATCCCAGATAGGAGCTTGCTGAGAGGATTAAGCCACTCATCCTGCTCCGCCTCTGCCCCACCCCCAAACTTACCCCGGCCACCTGCTGCCTCCAGCCACAGCTTGGAGGCTGGGTTTCTGCCAACTGCTTTCCCCTCCCCCGCTCCCTTCCTGTGCTGGCTGCCTCCTTTTTTTCCACCAGTGCAGGCCAAGGGAGTGTGAAGAATTGGTAGAGACCCAACTGTTAATACAAAAGCTGTGAAATTTTTTTATCATATTATGAAATTTGTAACACTTATTGAAATCATTTTCACAAATCTATAACATGGGACATGGCAGTAGATGACCTCTCTGGTCTTTTTTGGCTCAAATGTTATATGATTTGAGACTTATTCCACTGTAAAACACACATTAAAAAAATCCCCACCTGTTCTTTCAGTGATCCCCAATTCCTGCTTTTCTCATTCCTGACTGAATTATCCCAGGCCATCTTCCCTCAGATCTTCCCCACTACCTATCTGTCTCCAGTAAGGTTACTTCTGGGGTTTTATCTTTATAACCCCACCCCACCACACATACATATACATACACAGCATCACATCACAAACATTAATGTTTCTTGAGTGTCTTCTAGTTTATGACACTACTACCTGCTAGAATCGACCCATTTTCCTTAATTTTTCTGGGATACACTGGTTCTTCCTTTAGGGGCAACAGTTGCTTATTTTGATCTTTGCTAAGAAAATAAAACTGTATCACTTCTTTCACCTATTGCCTTAAATGGAATTACATTAATTTTTCCTCTAGATATTCAACTTTCATAATAATCCTTTATTTTATTTTTTTATTGTTAAATCATGTTTGTGCACATGTTTGTGTACTATCATGGGATACAATTTGAAATACTTTTATCCAGTTGGCCAACATAGCCTTCATGTCATTCTCATAGTTTCCATGTACTCAACCCTATTATGAAACTAACTGTTGGCCATCATAGGAAAGCTATAATCCTTTAAACTGTGTGGTGTTTGCAGTTTACAAAGCATCTTCACCTCAGGTATCTCTTGTAATCCTTACAACACCTCTGTTAGGTAAGTGATCTTCCACTTTACAGATCTTAGAGAGGTTGTACTCTGCCTAAACTCACATAGACAGAAGTAATAGGGACAGGACTCATGCAGACCTGTTCAAAAAATCAGAACAGAATAGAAAGTTCAGAAGTGTATTGAAATGACAAAGCTGTTTTTTCAAATCAGTGGAGAAAAAAAATGGATTACTCAATAAATGGTATTGGGACAACTGAGTAGCTCTCTGCAAAAAAAAAAAAAATAGAGTTATATATCTACTCACATCTTACATCAAAATAATTTCCATATGAGGCCAGGAACAGTGGCTCATTCCTGTAATCCTGGAAATCTGGGAGGCCAAGACAGGAGGATTCCTTGAACTGAGGAGTTTGAGACTATTCTGAGCAAGAGTGAAACCAAATCTTTATTAAAAAAAAAATGGAAAAAAATTTAGATGAATGTGGTGGTATGAGTCTATAGTCCCACCTATTCAGGAGGCTGAGGCAAGATGATTGCTTGAGCTAAGGAGTTTGAGGTTGCAGTGAGGCATGATGAGACCACTGTGCTCTAGCCTAGAAGACAGAGTAAGAGTCTGTCTCAAAAATAATAATAATAACAATTCCATATGGTTCAATGTCTTAAGTGTAAAAATGGATATTATGAGAGAAAAGATGAGAGAAAGTGTTGGATACTTTTAATAATCTTTCTAACATAGAACACAGAAGATTCCCCCCAAATGGATAAATTTAACTGTACAAAATTCGTGTTTTCCACATGGCAACAGAAGGTAAAATGGGACAATAAATATTCGCAACTCTTCTCACAAAGAGTTAATTTCCTTAGTGTTAGCCTGAGCCAGAGCAAGACTTCATCTCTATAAACTAGCTGGGCATTGTGACAGGCACCAATAGTCCCAGGTACTTGGGAGGCTGAGGCAAGAGAATCACTTGAGCACAAGTGTTTGAGGTTGCTGTGAGCTATGATGCCATAGCACTCTACTGAGGGCAACAAAATGAAACTCTGTCTCAAATTTTTTTTTTCCTTAGTGTTTAGAAAGCTCCTACAAGTCAATATGAATAAACCCAAAAACGCATTGACAAAAGTTGGAAAAGTATAAGAATAGAACAGTTCATTAAAAAGGAAATAAAAGTGATTTTTAAATATATGAACGTTGTACTCATAACCTTATTCATAATAAAAGGAAACCAAAATCAAATTGTGCTATAACATTTTTCAGCTATCAGATTTGTGTAAATGAAAAAGGTTTGCAAGCACTGTATTAGCAAAGATATAAAGAAAAGGGCATTTCTCATACATAGCCATTGAGCATGAAAGTTAATAACAACCTCTGCAGTAGGCATTCATCTATATCTACAAACATTTTAACTGTACATGCCTTTGACCCAGCAATTCCACTTGCTGGAATTTACCTTACAGATATACTCACACATGTATAAAATAGTAGATATACAAGGAGATTAATTGCAACTCAGTTTATAGTTAATCTAAAGGTCTAACATGGGGCTTATTAAATAAAGTATGATACATCTATATGATAGAGTACTATGTGGTCATTGACAACAGAGATTGATCTCTATGTGCTGATAAAGAACAATTTACTTTTTCTATGAGACAGAGTCACCCTCGGTAGAGTGTCGTGGCATCACAGCTCACAGCAACCTCAAACTCTTGGGCTTAAGCAATTATCTTGCCTCACCCTCCGGAGTAGCTGGGACTACAGGCACCTGCCACACTGCCTGGCTACTTTTTGGTTGCAGTTGTCATTGTTGTTAAGCAGGCCTGATCTGGGCTCAAACCTGCCAGCTTTGGTGTATGTGGCTGGTGCCCTACTCACTGAGCTATAGATGCCAAGGCAAAAATAATTTAATTTTAAAAAGCAAGATGCAGAGAAGCATGTACAGGCATTCAACAAAATCTGGTGACTTTTCATAATAGAAACCCTCAACAAACCCTTTAAGTTGAAGATCACACACACACACACACACAGAGAGAGAGAGAGAGAGAGAGAAAGAGAGAGAGAGTTCTAAACTATTAATGTCATATAATTCTTTTTGCAGGAGAAAAATATAATGTATGTGGAGTTCCGGACAAAGAGTAGATGTTCAATAAATGATGGCTGTTATTGCCCAGGCACGTATGTTCTGAATCCGCTGACCTAGATGTATACTCTACATCCCTTCTGTATTTTCTCTTCAGCTCTCACCAGGGGAACCTGCACTTCCTTAATCAGTGGCTTAGTCAGTCTTTATGCCTGTATGTTTCTTTCAGCAACTAAGGGGAGTAAAAGATAGCAACAGTGCATCTATAATTTAATTACCTCTCTCAAGGTAGTAAGAAGAGCCTAGACCTGGGAGTCAGAAGATCTGACAAGTCTTTTCCTCCCCCTGGCCATCTGGAGCCCATGGACCCAGGTTTCTGTTTGAGGAGATACACTGAAAAAATCCCATCCTGCTGATTGCTGGGGTCCTGGGCATAATACCTGTCATTTATTGAACATCCACTGTTTGCAAGGTGTGCCACATATTATCAAATTTCTCAAAGTAAGCTCTTCCTGCTTCTTCCTTTCCCCTACTTCTGGGAAAATACTGTGTTGTGTGGCTGGGAGAGGTGGCTCACTCCTGTAATGTCTTGCATTCTGGAAGGCCAAGGCGGATGGATTGCTTGAGCTCAAACATCTGGGTGTTGTGGCCAGTGCCTGTAGTCCCAGACACTCAGGAAACTGAAGCAAGCGGATCACTTGAGCTCAGGAGTATGAGGTTGCTGTGAGCTATGAGGCCATGGGGCACTCTACTGAGGGTGAAAGTAAAACTCTGTCTCAAAAAGAAAAAAAAAAAGTGCTCTGTATTTGTTCTCCCTCTGCTGGCCCGGCAGCAGCATAGCAGCATACATTTGGCTGGAGCTAGGTAACACCCTGTGGTATGGCAAGTGGATTGGTTGAACACCTCAGCTTGTACTTTACATTGACAAAGTGGTCTGTAATCCTTTGAAAGTTAATACTCCCTTAGCAATTGCTAAATACTGGCTGAGGTAATGACAGTGTGCCAGCCATTATCATAAAGGTACAAAGATCCCATTTCTGTAAAAGATCCAGCTTGTGCAAATATTGATTTCTTCTGCAAATCTAATGAGGGGAAAATGGAACAGTCTTCTAGCACTGTTGAAAAGATTATTTCATATAACTCAAAGCTTTTATGTAAAATGCACCTTTGGGGAAAAACATTTAAGGACCATTTTCAAGAAGTGTATAACACTGCATTTCAATGGCTTTGCATTTACAGGAGACATCCTGTTCCCAGAGCTATTTCTGGGCTAATTGAGCCTTACAAATAGCTTAAGACTCACTCAGCAGCTGAAATACCTTCAGAGGCCACAGCATGGTCACTGAACCCTACCATCATTTTCTGGTATTTGCATGCATTATCTCCCTAGCTCAAGATCTTTCTACTAGTCTCCAAAAAGATGCACAAACATATGCTTACATGAAATGGGGTGTAGTTGCTACTACACAGATTCAATCTAAAGCCTTCTGTGACTATTTTCCATCCTGTACTAGACAATTCAGGAAAGATCAGGAATATGACAAAAGCATCTATTAGTTTGAACCATAGAACATTGTTGATATTTGACTGCTAATAACCTACAAAAATTGCAGTTTCTTATGGTTTAATATAATAATTAGGAAATAAAATATCTTGAAGCAAAGGAGCAGTTTTTCACATTTTGTTGTTGATATTTGCAAACTCTTTATTCATATAGAATTTTATGTAGAAATCATACCTAAACAATGGATAAGAGATAGATTGCTTTTATTAGAGCAAGGAATGAGCCTGAGAGCCTGGATCCCCATCTACTTAGCTTCCCCTCCACTCCAAGACAGTCCCTAAGGCATCTTCATAGAATA